TCGCCTGTCTTCTTCTCGTCATCATGAGGAATTTTTCGAAAATCGGCTTGATATTCTTGTTATTACGAACGTACAAGATTGGTCGAGTTTCACTTTCTTATGAAGGCCAGTTAAAGGTCGAATGGTTGAGCGCGATCTCGCTATGAAGCAAGATTCTTGTGCCTAGGCTGCGCAAACGCCATGCTAAAGTGGTTTGAAAGCTTTCGCTTCTCCCTTTTACTTTTTCGAAACCGCAGGTCAGTTAGATAGCAGTCGATGTTTCTGTACCGGCCAGGCGTTTGGTGATGGAATTTTTTATTACGCTTGACTTTTTCAAATTCGTCATAATAACACAGTGGAATCATACATTAGCGGAAACGAAGCCCGAAATTAATACAATTTCAAGGTGAGGAAGGCTTTATATGAAAGGCATTCCTGAGAGAAAAATCACACAGCAACTACGAGGTGCAGCATGTCTGGAATCCGCGGGATACTTTTTTGCGCCTTACAAGTTGTCAATAGGGCGCTTTCTGCCGCGAAACTCTACACATCCTCTGCTTGGACCCTCCTTTACTCTCGCCATTACTCATATTTTTCATGAGCACATATCGCTAGTTTTTCCTTTCCGTATAATCATATGTATACCTATAACGAAGTAACGAAGTAAGTAATGTCAACATCGATCTTGATATTCAAGTTCTTAGAAGAAAACCATTTAAACTCATAATGCTTGTTAAGCGCTAATCCATAAGGGTAAGGCTGATGTCAGAGTCCGCGATCCGTCGCAGGTTTCGCTGATTTTCGCGATTTGCGCGATTTTCGCGATTTTCGCGATTCACGCGATTTCGCGATTTGCGCGAAACCTGCGACGGATCGCAAAAATTGCAAGTGTGTGAACATTTGAAACACTGAATATGAAACAAGTGGAATCATGAGCAGTCGTCATTCAGCCATCACTGTCAGGCATTGTTCACAGTTTTCGAATCATCCGAAAATTCGAATTCGCGAAAAGAATTGTATACGTATCGACCAGGAGAATTTCCGCACGCGCGAACGCGGATGCGAAAAGGTTTAGATGCGTATCGACGTAGTAAACCACGCCCTATTAGCGTTGCTGGAGGATTTTCGCACCGCCGTTTCGATGCTGTCGATCTCCGATTGACTCGGATCGATAGACACTCATTTCTTTTAAAGAGGATTCGCAGATTCGAATGCGCGATTCGACGCTCCTCCCATTTTGTGGATCGATACGCATTTGATTCTTTTCGCATTTCCGCAGATTCGGTCGTTTCGAGCGTGGCGCAATGTGTGAACAATGCCTCAAGCAGAAGTGGCGGCAGGATTGGAGAACACCTTGCAGTATTGATCGGGCACTTGTGATTTCCGTGACCCGTCGCGTGAATCGCGAAAATCGCGCAATCGCGAAAATCAGCGAAACCTGCGACGGATCGCGGACTCTGACACCAGCCTAAGCCAGACACTATTCTTGTCTTTTCTGAAGTGTGTTCTAAAGGTTCATTCCATCCCACTACTAGCATGTCGAAACGGATTGGTGAATATGAGAATAACTGCCCAAATTTTCGAGGTTTCTTCAAAATTTACAGAATTTCGCTAGAAGTTGCTCAAAGGGAGAGTCGGACTCCCTGATTACGAATATCATACTTGTTCGAAGCAAAAATGCCTGGCGCCTGCGCTACAAGCGCGCCAAAGTAGTGAGGAGCGATGCCGCCCAAGTTCGTTATCATCTGCTTTTAAATTCTTTGTACGAGTAGCTAGCGCATGTTGGACTAGCGACGTCAAGAATCTTCCTAGCCACTTTGATCCCATGACCTCTTGTCTCTGAGCCGGGACCACTGCCGTTGCGCTTTTCCGCTTCATAATTCTCTTCAGAGAAGAATTTAGCAGGTAGGAAAGCATATTTGCTCACCGTTCCAAGGCGCGTAAAGAGATATCTCATTTCAATTGTGTTGACCTAATGACATTTCCTGGTTAGAGCGTGATCATCGAGAGGTCTCACGGCGCACTGTTTTTGTAGTTGTACGTTTGAAGTACTTTGGAGCTTCACATGATCCATTGAGTTGTTATATGCCATCTACATATAAGGCCCATATCATACGTTGAAAAGCTGTCTCAAAATAACACATTGCGGACCGCAGTATTGCACGTAACTTGCACCTTCTGTGATTTTGTCACTACTTGTAATTGATCTACCAATGGGTGCGTCGAGAATATCATTGGCTTGTTCTTCTGCTTCAGAAATGTGTTTAGATAGTTCTAAATCAACTAATACAATAGAGACGAATATTCCGGCAAAAATTTTCGCTATGAGTCATGTGCCTCGAGTGTGCGTGCTATCTAGTGTACGCGAAACTTCATACGCTAGTGTAGTGCACTATGTGCTGCGCTAATAATGTGAAGGTGATATAAAGGTGAACAACCCTGCCAGGTGATACTGTGTTGCTGAGGTTTCTTACGTTCACAACAATCATTGACTCACAAGTTGTAGACTTTTCACAGAGTAGATCGCCTCAAAAATTCCAGGATACGTGGTACTGCAGTAGCAAACAACGTTTCGGCTTGATGTCATTTTCTTCGATATTGGCGTTATTCTTTTTAAACAGGCGCTATCTCATTTCCATACTAAACAACACGGACTTTTCTGTGGAAGTGTGGGAACAACGCGTTTAACAATATAATATAATAGAACCAATTTTATTACTATGCGTTTCATTCGGACCGAGATACAGTGGTTGCGCACGTGAAGCCGTACTCAATACGCTAGTGTAGTGCACTATGTGCTGCGCTAATAATGTGAAGGTGATATAAAGGTGAACAACCCTGCCAGGTGATACTGTGTTGCTGAGGTTTCTTAGTTCACAACAATCATTGACTCACAAGTTTTAGACTTTTCACAGAGTAGATCGCCTAAAAAATCCCAGGATACGTCGCACGGGAGAAGCAAACAACGTTTCGGCTTGATGTCATTTTCCTTCGACATTGACGTTCTTTGTTAAACAGGCGCCATCTCATTTCCATACGGAACAACACGGACTTTTCTGCGGAAAATATGGGAATTAAAGCGGTTTGGTAGTGAATACATTAGAAAACATTTCTTATAACCTGTGCTTTCCATTCGACGCAAATCATCAATCTTTTGGCTACGTGTAGGCCGTTCCTTCAATGCTCTAGTGCAGTGCACTGTGCGCTGCGCTAATAATGCGAAGGTGATATAAAGGTGAACAACCCTGCCAGGTGATACTGTGTTGCTAAGGTTTCTTACGTTCACAACAATTATCAGATAGTTATAGGCGTTTCAAAAAGTTAGAGCGCGGTAAGCAAAATTATCAGTGTAAATGGAATAGTACTAGTCAACAGCGGTTCGGCTGGACCTTTTTTTTGATAATTGACACCTATTTCCTGTAAATAAGTGCAACCTCTTTCTCTCCAAAAACGCGCGGAATTCAACACGGATTTGCTGCGGAAATATGGAATTCAGAAAATTGAACCCGTTCAATGGACTACATTAGAACATATCTCTCGTAACTTTTCGAAAGCATTTCCATTCGACACAAACGTCTATGGATTTCACGGCACGAAATCCTGTACCTTCAATGCTCTAACTGCACTGTGTGCTGCGCTAATAATGTGAAGGTGATATAAAGGTGAACAACCCTGCCAGGTGATACTGTGTTGCTAAGGTTTCTTACGTTCACAACAATTATCAGCCCATTTAAGTTGTAGCTTCAAGAGTAGAGCGCTAGAAGAATTCCAGGTATAAGTGGATTATATGTCGTCAACAGCGGTTCGGCTGGACCATCTTTCTTCGATAATTGGCTTTTTTGTAAACGGCAGTCATCTCCTTTTCATACAAAAGACGCTGGCTTCTCTGCGGAAATATTGAATGTAGGAATCAATTGCTTTCATTGAAATATATCAGAACGTATCTTTTATGACAAATTCGAAAGCATTCCCATTCGATCCAAATCGTCATGCTTTTTATAGCGCGAAATTTATGCAGAGTTGAGTCGTGGTCGATAGTCCCTCGAAATTAGATTGTTTTCAAGTTGGTGGAAGCAGGAAGTGTGAAAAATCGTAGGTTGTATTTTTGGGGACGTGGGCATAGGTAATTAGGGGAATAGTGTAATATTTCCTGGTTAAGTGGTTCCATATACACATTCCTCTCTCCTCCTCCTTCTACTCCTGCGCTCGCTAGATGAAACATTACCTCCTGCGTAATTTTTGTTTGAGTGAGTTTGATGTATATCAGCTAGATCCAAGTTGTCGACGCTATCGTCACTAGTAACCATGACAGGTGGGAGAGGGCTTAGGGAGTTCCACTGGCAAAATTCCCTTGCCACGTATCTCACATTGTTCTGTTCAGTCTCAAACTGCATCAAAGTTAACTGGGTTTATAGGTATATCTATTTTGTAGGCCTTTTAGAAATACAGGACATTTCGTTCCGGAAAACCACTGAAACCAAGCTCGTTGTTTAATATTTTTTTGCAAACAGAGATTATTCCAGGGTACGCTTGGAGAAGGTGTACAAGGAAAATCCCTTACAACGGCCCAGTTCAACAAGTTGATGACGTTGTTCCCTCAACCGGATTTGGGCCAGAAACCGTATCGGCAAATGAAACGGTTGCCCTCGCAATCGTACGCCGATGATATTTTCCATAGAAAACATTGGAAAGGTAAAGCTAGTTAAGAATCGGGTTGTAAGAAGTTCACTCTGTATCTATATGTATAAATCGTAGATGTAAATGAAGGCATAGGAGTTCGAATAAATGTTTGAAATTTGTTATGTTCGTCTGCTTCCTATAGTTGTTGTAAGGCAACGAATATTTTCTCAAACTGAGGGCGACTTTCTGCCTGCTCATGTACATTTTGTATTTTGTCGTTCTTTTTGCTTAATATTAGGGAACTCATTCGCCTCCATGTTTTAAGGGTATGGCTGCCCTGAAGAAGTTCTTCATCAAGCAGAAGCTTGCTAAAAAGCAAAAGCAGAACAGGCCAATGCCCCAGTGGGCACGAATGAAGACAGGAAACACGGTTCGTTAGTTACTCATGATTACTCTACTCCTTCGCCTCCAATGCTCTAGTGTTGTACATTTTGTACAGTGCTAATAATGCGGAGGTAATATAGAGGTGGACAACCCTGCTAGGTGACATTATGTCACTGTAGTTTCTTAAGTTCACAACAATGTCATATGTGCCTGATGGCCTTAAAGTGAAAAGGGACTCTAGGCTCGTCTCATATTTGCAGTAACTGTCAGTTATTTCAGATGAAGTACAACGCAAAGAGACGCCACTGGAGACGTACTAAGCTGAAGCTGTAGATTTTCTGTCCAGTTTATCATTCGCTGTTCTGCCGATTTCTTGTTGATTTCGAAGTTAATGCCGATAAATTTGTTGTTGAGCGTTGTGGACAATACCGCCTAATTATAATTGTTGCGCCCTCTGGGGAAGTCGCATCGATTGGGCCGAAAATGTTCAGCAAGAGATGTGTCCAGTGGTGAACTTCTATCACGTATTATTTATTTTGCTACTTTTCATAGCACGTGCATCAGAAGCTGTACTGTGTTATAAATGCTTTTCTGATTCTGCGAATTCTACATGTGTATTGCAACCACGAAGTTTTCCTTGGGCACACTGCGACGGTCAATGTCAGGTATGATAAATGAAGATAAAAATCATTGGAAAGATGTAAGATTTGTGAAGTAGAGGGGACTGTTGTCTTCGAAGCCGGATTGGTATGAAGCCAATCAGAAGTATTGTGTATGCTGTCGAGTAGCTACTACTGTTACAGTTACTGCAGCGCTTATCTCTGCCATTGCACAGTTACCTCATTTGCTACTGCGGTACTGTTTCCATAGCATTCGATTTTAAGATCAGTCGACAAAACTCGAAACTTGTCAGAACGAACCCCTCTCCCGCAATCACGACCAACTTCCAAAAATACGTTCCCCTTTTTCGACATTTTGACCTTCATCAACCTCGAGTACGACTCTCCCCCTCCCTTGAAAAAACGAACAAATAAGACTCCGTAGAGACTGCCTAACGCACGTTTCACCCTGCGTGGATGAGGTGGTAACGGCAGCGTACTCGATTCGTTGTTATCATTATAGGCCGATTTTCTTTCTGGATTGCAACTTATATCAAGCATCTTTATCCTCTTATCGAATCGTATCTTCTACGGGTTATGCTCGTCCAGCTACTCCTTTTCAGGAAATGAGAAGAGCGTCGGGCGCAGACCATACACCACAAGTGACGACGGACCTCCACAAAATGTAAATGCTGGCAATAGCCTGTTGCAGTTGTATTCTATCAGTTGTCACTAATTACAACTATCATTTACCAAAAATCAGCTATCACTATGAACCACTACTAACCAGATTTACTTGGAGGCCGTCGTCACTTGTGGTGTATGGTCTGCACCCGACGCTCTTCTCGTTTTTGAAAGGGTCCTTATCAAACTCCTCCCGTCAATGACTCGTGGAACTATTTTCCACGTCTGACCAGCGCGACCCTTCCTTTAATTGAAGTTCCCGTAATGCTAATAAAGAAATGGCTTTGTAGTACTGGAAGGTGATTCGTCGACGTTTCCAAGATTGCAAGAAGCAGAGCATATTTTACTAATATTACGTCGGTGCGAAAGTCTTGAAACGCCCAGAGAGGATGTTTGGAATAATTTCACAGTTTATTTGAAGGCAAGCCCCGGAATAAAATGGCTTTGTAAGAACTTTCATTAGTGAACCTGGAGTTGGAGGGTGGTCTGGAAACGAAAAAGAAAGCAAAAGAAACCCCC